CCATATTTAACAACCAACACAGTATCATCACAGATTAAAATGTTGGCTAATAATGAAGAGTGGTCTATTACTGGTGTGTATGGACCACAGTCCGACGCGGACAAAATCCTTTTTCTTCTGTAAATCACAGACATATGACAGCATGCATGTCCTACTTGGGGATTTCAACTTAATCCTTAGCAGTGGCGGACCCAGGATTTGGCCAAGACTAGGGCCAAATCCTTGTCCTCTTCATCTTGTACACTGTAATGAGAAATTAGAATCAAAAGGTCGAAATTGGGAACTTGGAAATTGGAAATTTGGACACCGTAGTAGTACATCAATATAATAGTGTTTGCAAAAATGTATAGAAGATTAATAAATGTTAGTATAGATCTATTTCTGTTTACCTCATTAATTGATGGGGATGTCCGCCCCCTCCAGTCGCCTCCAAAATGTTCCACGATGGCGCTCCCCTCCGCCTGCCCATCCCCGACTCGCGCGCCGTCGTACGGAAGAAGAAGAAGGGTGAAAAACGCATTGCAAGCCTTTGCTTCAGGTGTTTCAGATGTTTCATAGGTAGGTGCAAATGTTTCGTATGTATGTTTAAAAAGTAAATTGGGAGGTTGCATATGTTGCAATGGTGTACACATACGTTGGAAGCTTCTGTTCCCAAAGTTTCATCTGTTTTTTCAGACATGTTGCAAGTGTGTTTATTTGGATATTGCATATGTTTCACACATATGTTGCAAGTGTTTTATCTGGATGTTTCTTATGTTCTTACAATGGTATTGAGGTGTTTTTTTAAGTGTTTCAGATGCATGTTTTAAGTGTTTTATCTATCTTTAGATGTATGTTGCAAGTGTTGCATGTGGATGTTTCAAATGTATAGCAGGTGTTGCATCTCCCTATTCACCTTCTGCTGCCTTGCCTTGATATCTACTCCTCCTCTCAGTTCTCCCTACTCGCCTTCTATTGCCTTGACTTGATATCTGCTCCTCCTCTCGGAGCTGGCCGGGCATCCAAACCAGAGGCACAGGCGGGCGTTGCCCCTTCCCTCTCTTCTCAATGCTGTTGACGTTCGGGCAGTGCGGGCCCCGCGCAGGACACGTGAAATGGAGCGTAGGCGTGAATGTCTAGACGTCCGGGCGCTAGCACTACCATTATAAATTCTACGTTACGTGTGCTAGTCCCCTAATCTATTGTCGTGATACATAAATTACTAGTGGGACAATAATTTCTATGACGCGCATCTAGAATTTATTTTTGCTATCTTTACGATAAACTATTGATTTGAAAAACTATGATTAGAGGCGGGCCACATTAATGGCTGCCTATTTCTAGAGGTGCTGCATACCCACCCCAAGCAGTCTTCTATTTCTAGAGCCCTTGAGTAGAGGATATTGCTACAGCCACCTCCATGAACGAAATATGACCTTGAGTGAAAGTGGTTTGTGTAGCAATGCTACATGCATGCAGTTAGTCATCACAGAGTCGATTTATTAATTGTCATACTTGCTCCACTCATCAAAACATGTGGTTTAAAACTGCAAACATGGCATAACTTTTTAAATTTCTTTTTTTTTTTACATAATGGAACGAAATTTTAGCCTCTACCATGCAAAGATGGTACACGGCTGAACTTTTAAATTTCATAGCTTGAAAACAAATATGTGCATATTTGTATTGAAAAAAACTATTGATATTACTGATAATTCGGAGGGGTTTAAGGTTCTATTCTAGAAGATATATTTCTTTTTGGAAGGCATTCTAGAATATATTGAAAGTAAACTAAAAGATATACACGGAAGACCACGCAAAATCAAATGTGTCATAGACTAGTCCGTTTGTAAGTGTGATATTATATTCTATATAATATATATACTCCCTTCATAGTTATTAAATTTTTAAAATTCATTAAAGAAATAAATACTAACGTTGTTTAAAAATATCTAAGAATATGTCTAGATTCTTATTATGATTCTTGTAAATTTGAAAGTTAAATATGTCATGTATATGCATGGTAGTATGATTTTATAAAGTTTTTATACAAGTTAGCGTCATGAATATAATATTGTGAAGCTATATAGTTTCTAAATATGTCATGAATATAATATTGCTATACCATGATATTCTGAGTTAAAGAATGATATATATATATAAACAATAAAGTATGTGACCCGAGCGGGTCTCCATACAAGATTACCTTTTTTTTGGGTAATCCATACAAGATTACTGTAGTTCAGAGTTCGGATCTATATAACTTTAGTCATCTCCATACAATAAAGTATGGAACTTTCAAATTTGGATCTGACATTGGCCCGTCTATATATATATATAACTGAATCTGGCACTAGCAAATTTGGGTCTACATCATATTCGCCAGTAATGTTACGGAAGTTATTCAGCTGCATTGCACAATCCAAGCATGCACCGTCGTCATCTCCTCTTCGATCGCCGGCGCCACAAGTCCAAAAACCTCGAGACTCGGACGCCGTGGATGTCGTGGACACGTGGGCGGCATCGCTACCGATCGATATCTTCCTAGAGATCGTTCTCTGCTTGGAACCCGCCGCGGTCGTCTGCTGCGCCGGCGTCTGCAAGCCGTGGCGGCGCACCATTATCTATAACGCCTCGATCCTCGGTCAGCACCTCGACCGCTTCTTCCGCCCCAGCCTGCTGCTCGGCGTCTTCCGCTGCGACAGACCGGCAGCTTGTCTAGAGCGCACGCCGGGGCCGTTCCAGTCGGCGCTCCCGTCGAACAGCGGCCGCGGCAGCGTGACTCCTGCGAACTCCTTGATACCGGCCGCCGCGTCCGCCGCGCTCCCAACGCTGCTGTCGTCCAAAGACGGGTTCATCCTGCTCACAGCGAGAAGGGCCAAGAGTCTTTGCCTGTGCAACCCCGTGACCGGATACTGCACCATTATCCCCGCCGCAGCAGGCAGGCACAACAAGTACATGTTGCTCACTGGCTCCTCATCCTCCTTCTCCTCCGACCCGGCGGTGTGGATACTCGGTGTGAAGAAACGCTGGCGTACCAAATCTTCTCCCCGTCCGGCGACAGGGCTTGGGTGTGGGGGCCAGTAGTCCAGTGTTTCGGCGACGAGTTGGTGCCCGGCCTCAGCATGCGGACGGATCACCGGAGAACGGTGGTCTGCCGGGACGCTGTGTACTGGCTAGCCGGGCCCGGGTATGACATCACATGTGTGTTCGCCCTCGACATCCGCACTGGCCGGACATGGACTACAGAGCTGCCAATGCAATGCCATCTTCCCACTCCTGATCCCGAGGCCTTCTCATCCATCCTGGCAACGTCTGGCGACGGTCGGCTGTCTTTGATACGGACCCTTAGGGGCCCCAATATACAGGTGTGGGTGCTGTCCGACAATGCCCAGTGGTTTCTGCACCAGACAATATCAATCGACCTGTACAGTCTACTGCGACATTGCTCGCAGGAGAGCCGCTGCCCGACCAGCAACATCCCACGGTCGACCTATTTGAGTGCCTTCTGCCCGCGGAGCAGGTGCGTGGTGGCCATGTGCTCGGGCCAGGTGCTTCTCATCGACGTCGACAGCAGCGGTTTGCGTCCACATATCAGGCGAATCGGCAAACGTGAGTGGTTTCAATGTTGCCCATATGAGATAGATTCCTCATCAACTTACATCTTAAAGATGCAGCACTTCTAGGGCTAGTTGTGCACTCTGATTTGTTTTAGTGATTGAGCCCCTACTTATATAAATGAACCATAGTAATATATTGGAGATCGGAGATCGTCTTTTGTGTGGTTTTACTAAATGTCACTGCGGATCTGTTTCCATTTATCTGATTAATTTGTGGGGATCAAGAAAAAGGCCCTAGAAGCTGGCTGTCCAGAGCTCTCCAAGACACCAGCAGCAAGTAGATCTCTGGACATAGTTACACAATGAGGGACTTTCTTTCCGTACCCAACAAAAGGACCTACAGCTGCACTCAGTCAACGTATTTGCATGGTGTTTGGTCCATCATGAGTTGATCATATGAATTACATTTGAAGAGGCAGATCATGACAGTTATGTGCACATAAAGAGTGTGTGATGCTATTTATTGTGATGGCTAATTAACCCATTCTACTTAAAACAGATTATAATGTAAGTTTTCATATGCTAAAGTGCCAACTAATCACCCAAGCCAAGGAAAACCTCAGTCTATATGCAAAAACAAAAGGGCGTACCCAGTGCAGAGAGCTCCCGCTCTGTGCAGGGTCTGGAAAAGGGTGTCAGTGGCAAGCCTTATCCTCGCCTGTGCAATGCGAGGAGACCGTGACTCGAACCCGGGACCTTCCGGTAACAAGTGGTAAGACTCTACCGCTTGCACCAGGCCCGCCCTTCTCTATATGCAAAAACAAAATAAAAAAAAATCAAGGTTGTATATGTTTGCTGGACAAGTGTACTACAATCTATTTTGGCCGAGAAATTATTATGTCACCGCATCAAAAGCCAACACACTGCTTTCCAAGATAAGTACATCAACTATCAGGATCCGAAGAGAACCAATAGATCTGACGGACCATGTTTTCACAATTTTACTGGCCTACCATATCTCACTTCTTAAAAGTATTAAAATTTTTGCCATGTTATAAAAAAATGTCTATTGATCTGAAACCATATTAACTATAGATGAAACTAACATCTAGACTGGCCTAATATTACGTATTGACATTGAGTATCTATACAATTTAAATGCATTGTTATTGTGTCCCTATTATGTGATTCATACCTAGGTTTGAGCGCATGCATCCCATGATAAGATAATATAAGTTAACATGTTTATTTCGGTTTCTACCTCTTAAAATTTGAAAACAGAATATGCATAGCAGAATATAATTAAAAAGGAAAGTCTAGGTGTACTAAAGAATATGCATTGGAAATAGTCTCCGAACATTACTACTCATAGTACTCTAGCAGTTGTCATCGATGAGGATACTACCATTTATATCTGCAGGTGTACTCTAGCAGTTGTGATCTATACATATACACGCCGATATGTGGGCAACGTCGCTGCCCTGCGACCTACTCCTCGACATCTTCCGCCGCGTAGGATTCACAGCGGTCATCCGCTGCGCCGGCGTGTGCAGGCCATGGCAGCACGCCATCATTGACAACGCCACGTGTCTCCGCCCACGCCATGACCGCTTTCTTCCCGAGCTTCTCCTCGCCTTATTGGACACGTACTGGCACCTGCGACAAGAAACGATCCTCGGGCGGCTCGACTACGTACCGGTGGGACCGTCTGCTAACAACTTGCTCGTAGATGGCTTCGTCGACGTCAGCCTGTACGGCACGCCGTTGGCATCACGCAATGGGTTCCTCCTCCTCGGGGGAATCAACAATCTCTGCCTGTGCAATCCCCTGACAGGAAGCTTCAATTTCGTCTCCACCGCCCCGCTTGGTGATTCGTCCTCGGAGCAGTGTACTTACGTCTTGGCCACCGGCTACGACGACGACTCCCAGCCAGACGGCGGTGCGGTCGGGAAGGAAAACATTATGCGCACCGAGCGGACATGGAGAACGGAGCTGCCGGAGGAATGTGAGATGAGCCGCTACCCTGCATCCGCACTCGTCCTCGCGACGTCCGAGGACGAACGGCGGCTCCCGCTGATCGCGTCGCAGGTGTTCCGCCATCAGATCAAGGTGTGGATGCTCGTCGGCGACAGCCGATCGATCCTGCAGCAGACAATGGACTTGCAGAGATGGCTGCTCCCGAATTGCAGAAGCCTGACATACATTTTGCTTGGCGGCTTCCGCCCGAGGAGCGGTTGCTTGTTCAGCATTGTCAGAAATGACCGGGGCCTCTACAAAAAGTTCGTCGTCGCCGTTGACGAGAGCTCACCCCGGAGTCGACTCCAAATATTGCTACAGCTTGCCGTACGAGATGGATTGGTCAACGTACTTATCAAAGATGAAGTATTTCTAGCTTCTATCGTCTACTTGTATATAAGGTTGTTGAACTTCAACTATATGGAGGTCATCGGCAAACAGAAACTCTGCTGAGCATAAGAAAGACCGAGTAAATTTTTGTTTTACAGCAGGTTCATGCCATTATCATTATGGTATAATATATAATCGTCGATAGGTATTGATGTACAATTCTGACTTTAGGATTAATTTAATTGCTTGCTGAAATTAAGATGGGGTTCTCGCCATATTTTGGTTCAGATGGCACCTAGATCATCGCGCGTGCAGCGGCACGAACTGGTGGCGAGGTCACCGTTCCGGCGTGACCTGCGCGTTAGAGATAAAAGAATTGAGCTGATGAGCATCATCGAGTTGCAGGAGAGCTAAAACAATAAACGGGATCACCCGAGGAGCGCCGGAATGAGCTGGCCACGGCGAGCTGCCCATGGCGGCCATGGTGGCACGGCCGCGGTGGCAACCGACGCCGAAGGCGATTGCGGCGGTGAGAGGTGGCTACAGCGGCGAGAGCAGCGGTTCGAGGACCGCAAGAACTCGACGGAGCTGGGAGCACGGGAAATTGGGAGAACATGGAACAACGGCGACAAATTTCGCGGTCGAGCTGCGCGGCAATGCTCCAGGAGAGAAGAGGGAAAGAGAGGAGCACCGGTGGCTCAAGCTTACCTACAGGTCGAGAAGGCCCTACGGCCGCCCACCATCGCCCGCTGCAGCAGCGCGCCCCTCGGCCTGCCGCTCGCCACAGCAGCGCGCCCCTCTGGCCGCCAAGCAGATGCGAGCCGCACCTTTGCCCGCAGGAGCGCCGCGCAACTCCGGACGCCGCCCGTGCGCCTCAAAGCAGCAAGCCTGCGCCGCATGCGACAATGGCTGACGCCGCCCGCATGCGAGGCGCGCGACAACGGCCACTGCCCGCTGTGTTCCGTACGCGCCAAGTACGCAGGCCACTCCTTTTGGACATTAGCACGTGCCAACGGCTAAGTGCGCAAGCAAAGTACAACAGACTCGCGTTATTAACACGCGTCTATACCAAGGTTGGACCAAATTAAATATATATCCACCTCCGTCTCCCTCTATCTCTGCCTCACTCTGTCTGCCTCCCTTCTTCTCGCTACCTTCCTCCGCCGTCGCCAAGCTCTCCATCCCTTCTCCCAGCTCGAGACGTGATGTCTCATTTCGCGGAGTCGTCTGGAGGTGGACGGGCGAGGAGTAGGCTTCAAGGTGCCCGCAGCACCCGCATTGGCTCTGAGCACGGCATCGTTCCGGATCCAGTTGGTGAGCTCATCGGGTTCCGCTGATCCCTTGCCCGAATTGCGGTCTTGCTCGGGTGGTGGAGAGGCGGACCAAGAAGGATGGTGGCAACCATGGCCGACTCTACTTCAAGTGTGCTAGGAATGGGGTGAGTTCTTTGTAGTGTTATCCCCCCAATTTGCGCAGTTAGGGTTCTAATTTATGGTTGTTTTTCAGTTTCCTAGGCTTTATGGTTACTATCGATTCGAAAAGGAGTACTTCCAGCAGTTGAAGGCTCATAATTGTTCGCCCTTCAAATTGGGCAGAGCTGCTCGATGAAGAAGAAGGTTCAGTGGACAATCCAAATGGTGACACCAAGAAGAAAAACTTGGAGCAGAAGCTGGAGAATTTGAAGTGGAATATGAACATGTTTATTGTGTGTTATCAGTGTTGTCCTTGGATGTGTTCTGGTGTATGCTGTAATGAAGTAATACCCAATGCATTGATTGAATGAATGAAATGAATGAATGTATGGAATTTGGTGTCCAAATTTGTTATGTGTTGATGTTAAATGCAACCGAAATGATGAGTGAACATAGTGACAATGCAACTGAAATTTGTCCAAATTTGCATTGAATGCAACTGAAATGATGAGTGAAAATAACGACAATGCAAATGAATTTTTTCCAAATTTGCTCACTTTTGAATGTGAAGGCTGGAATGTTCTATTCCTTAATTAATCTAATTGAATCAGATTGTAATATGAATTAATTAGCCAGCAGTTATGCTACAGACGCGTGTTTGGAAAACGCGTCTGTAGTGAATACAAGAACAAAACGGGGGGCAGCCTAGGGAACTACAGACGTGTTTACATGGTTTACACCATTCACAGCCTAGGGAACTACAGACGCATTTACGCGGTTTACCCCATTCACACCACTACGATGTTCGCCATTCCCGCGACCAAGTGGAAACTTCAAGAACAGCGTGCTCAGAAAATCCCACCTCTCTCCGCTCCACCTCTCCACCTTCATTCAAGAAACTCACCTTTTGCATTGCTCCACGGCGATCCACCTCTCCCCAGCGCGCTCAGCTCGATCTCGATCTGCCTTCACATCGCTCCGCCCCAACACCGCTGCCGCCGCCTGATGGAGAAGCTTCCGACAGAGTTTGTTGCTGAGGTTGCGAGCCGCGTCGCCAAGGCTGTAGTGGATCCCATGGAGGACCTTGGCAGCCTGCGCGCAACGTGCTCGTAGAAGCGAAGGGCGTGCGGCACCACCTACGTGGGACGGAGCATCCCACTGGAGCCGGTGCGGAACCGTGCAGCCTGGGAGCCCTACTACTAACGCGAGTATCGCGCGAACCTCATCACCAGGCTCGCCATTGTCAGCCACATGGAGGCCTGCTTCAAAGCAGGGAAGTCTGCCATCTTCAAGGAAGACCACGGCACCGTCATGCCGTGGCTCGACATGCTAGAGCGCGCCACCGAGTCAGGCCATGACCTGGCTACCTATGTTTTCTCTCTTGCGCTCTACAAGTCCAACAGCGGTGCCGCCAACGACGCCACTGCCTGGCGGTTGCTGCAGAAGTTGGAAGGTGACAAAGAGGTCCCGGCGACAAAGACTGCGAGGTGGAAGAAACAGACCTATGCACGGTGCCATCGAGCTATAAGGGTGGTGTTGCTGGATGACTTGGTGCTGCCACACCATGCAAACGAGGCCTGCTCTGCGTCTTCTGGCCTCTCCGGTGCCTTGCCAGGACGAGCATCAGTGCCGAGGCGGAGGCTGCGGCGACATCACCGGGGTCGACGAAGCATGGGAGATGTCGGCCCTGTTCTGCAGCGAGGAGTGTAGGATCCGCCATGAGTGTCTTAGGTTCTTCAGTGAATACAAGTGGGCATGAGTAGCTAGTGTTCATATGTATATATATCTAGATGTATGCATGATCGAAACACTTTTGCTTTTGGTAATGGAAGATGTTTGATCCAGAGTATATGTGATGAAAATCTGAGATGTTTTAGTTGTAATTCATGTTATATTGCAGTTTGTGATGGTGTTTGTGATGTTGCAGTACACTACTATATTGAGCCGCCTCTGCAAATAGACGCCGAATTTTTCAAACAACCATGGATGGAGAAAGAACCAAAATAAAAGATGTACATCTCGAAAAGCCAAGAAACTTTGCAGTTGACAACTTTTTCATTTGAAATCATCTTGTCATGGAAAACTAAGTTTAAATTTCCAAAAATTTGAAATTTTAAATTTTAAATGACCTCGGATGGAGAAACTACCAAAATAAAAGTTTAGATCTCAAAAAGTTATGAAACTTTGCAGTTGACAACTTTTATATTTGAAATCATCTTGTCAACCAAACTAAGCATTCATCCACAAAAGATTTCATGTTACAAACCCGTGTTGTAAAAACGCGTCTATAGTAGTAAAATAAAAGGCAAAAAATTTGTACCCCTGCGGGGATCAATCCTGAGACCTTCATGCCCACAACCCCATGAGTTAACCATTGCACTACGTTTGTAAGTTCAAACGGGGAGCGTTGTTTGTTTTTTAAAAGGTTTCCAATACATTAAAACAGAGAGGCGGTGGGGCCACCCTGTCAGGGTCCTACTTCAGACCCGTGATGTAAAAATGCATCTGTAGTAGTAAAATAAAAGGCAAAAAATTTGTACCCCTGTGGGGATCGATCCTGAGACCTTCAGGCCCATAACCCCGTGAGTTAACCATTGTGCTACGTTCGTAAGTTCAAACAGGGAGCGGTGTTTCTTTTTTAAAATGTTTCCAATACATTAAAACAGGGTGGCGGTGAGGCCGTCCTGTCAGGCTCCTATTTCAGACCCATGTTATTAACAATCATCTGTAGTAAGCCAATTGAGTAACCCGCTGCCGACGTCCGCCAACCAAGAGAGTAATGATAGTTCAAAGCTTTGTAACTGCCACTCCGGCATAGTGGCATTCACTCCAGCTTCTTGTCTCTCCACTCCTCACTCACCTTCCCCGCCGCGCGCGCAGCCCTCGCATTGACTCTGGCCACTCATCTCTCCACTCCTCTCTCGCCTTCCCCGCCGCGCGCACAACTGCCTCCACTCCTCTTGCCTCCCCGGCCCATCGCCACATCCATACCCGTAGCCACCGCCGTCGAAGATGACGAGGCCAGAGAGGTGGCACAACCTGAGGGACGAGAAGACGGGGAGGTTCGCCCACCGTTCCTCATCCTCGGCAGCGGTGAAGGAGGAGGTGTGCCCCTCGCTGGGGTTCTAGAAGATGCCGGCCTTGAAGAAGAAGGCCATCCCGGCCGCCCCACCGAGGTTGAAGAAGAAGGCCGCCGTCATCACAAGGAAGGAGAAGCACCTAGCGGCGTTGATGAAGGAGAAGCAGCCGATGGCAGTGAAGAAGAATGCCAGGCTAGACATGCCCTCTTCCTCGATCATGGCCACGAGGGCAGTGGGCTCAGCCAGCGGTGGTGCTCGTGGTGGACTCAGATAGCGAGGAGGAAGGAGAAACCATGGAGGCGAGGAGGAAGGAGAGGAAGGCCATGCAAACGGCGGCGACGGCGACGCCTTCTTCCTTGGCAGCGGCGCCGAGGACAGCAGCCACCAAGATGTGCAACCACTGCTTGGAGCGAGGAGCCAGGACGTGTCGTTTATGGCTCCGTGGTGGCGTCAACTACGGCAAAGTCAGCGGTTCAAGCTCCACCCATGGCCAGGTAATGCACACTCTTTAGATTACAACTGCTTATATGTATGTTTTCTTTCTTAATTTCATGACAGTTTTGTTGGTAGCCTCTGAATTGGATGAGTTTGTTGCTAAAATAATTTGGCTCATGCCATTCTCTCATCCTAGACCCAGATGGAGCAGAGAAAACAACTAGTGTAGAATAAATGTAGATGCAATTCAAGTTTTTATACAAGCAATGTAAACTATCATATATTGTATTTTGCAGCAGCATTGTGCTTTGAGTAGATTGCTTTATCTAGATTTTTATCATACATCAATGATTTTAATCTTGTGAATAATTTTGATGGTACCACTTCAATATTTCAGCATTGTGATTTGAGTAGATTGGGTTTCATCTCTTTAGGGCAGCTCTAAGTCTTTATGTGCATTGTTAGCAGCAACTAGGTGTTTTATTTTTCTAATTTGCTATGATTCTGGAGTGCACAAGGTCATGGACTTTGTAGACTATAATTGATTATATTAAACTTATATGATTCTGATATGTATGCTGGATAATGAAACTTATATGAATGCAAATGAAACTTACACTGGTACAAAACAGAGCTTTACTCCCGGTGGGGAACCCCCTCTAGTCCCGGTTCCCCACCCGGGAGTATGCATCCGGGACTAAAGGGGGGTCCTTTAGTCCCGGGTCAGGAACCGGGACTAAAGGGGGACCTTTAGTCCCGGTGGGTAACACCAACCGGGACTAAAGGTCCTCCCAGCTTTAAAAAAAATAATACCTCCCACCGCTGCGTCCCGTGAGATTCGAACCCAAGACCCCATGCATTGCCTCGCGCGTAGCTTACCACCCCACCTACACAATACATCTAACAATGGATGTGATGCTTCCCTTTTGAACTAACCCATCAGGGGACCTTTAGTCCCGGTTGGTGTTACCAACCGGGACTAAAGGTTGAGGATTTTTAGTTCCGGTTGGTGGCTCCAACCGGGAGTAAAGGTCCACCTTTAGTCCCGGTTGGTGTCTACAACCGGGACTAAAGGTACTCTGCCACTGTGCCGAGCGCAGTAGCCATTGGGCAGGGACCTTTAGTCCCGGTTGGAGACACCAACCGGAACTAAAGGTCTCTCTAGTCCCGGGCGCAAAAAATGCCGGGACTAGAGCCTATTTTAGCATCGGATGAAATGTCTGTTCTCTACTAGTGTTATATATAGGTTTTTTGTCACAGTATCTAGATTTATGCTGCATTTTGATATATGTTCCTATAACCGTTTCTGTGTGCATAAAGGTACGATCTTATCAGCTCCCTCTAAGTACCATGCACGAGGCCCTAGACACAGCTCTGAAACCCATCATGAAGAGCATAGGCGGTCTTCAGCGGAGTGTTAATGAACTCAAGAAAGAGAAGGCTGAGAACGAAGAGAAGGAGAAGCGTCTCAAGAAGAACCTGGACGACCTTGGTGACCAACTGGTGTCCGTGGTTCAAAATGTGCATGACCTCCAGAGCAACTTGCATGGCGCCATGCCTCCACCGCCGGCGAACAACTAATGATGATGTGATGCTGTGTTAACTCTATGCTGATGAAACTCTATGTGAATCTAAACTCTGTGTTAACTTTTGGTGATGATGTAATTGATGCAAACTCGATCTATCACATATATACTTTGGCTGAAAATGCATCTATGTATATATCAATATATTACATATATATTGTTGCTGGTTTGTCAATGGCTAGAGTGAAAATGGAGGAATATAAGCAAATTCATCAATGTTTTAGTAATAAAAATCATATTTTTTCGGTAGACTTAGTTCACATTGCAAGTTTCACACAAGTTCACCATTGTTCACAGAGAAGCACATGGTCGGAGCACACCTGATCGAGTACACTGCAAAGAGGAATTAGTTAGAGTCAGACTCGAGCTCGACCACAGCCATGGCGGTGCGGCGGACACAGAACGGCGGCGTGGTGCTCCGGCAGATACAGCAGTGTATAGGTTAGTCTAAGGGCTAAGGCAGCACCAGCAGCTCATCGCGATGTCGATGCACTGCTTGGTTGAACTGAGGACGAGGTGGAGCTAGATGGCCAGCGGTGATGGCGAGTGCACTGCAGTGATGTCGATGCACTGCTTGGTTGAACCGAGGATGAGGAGAACTGGTGGCGAGGTCGCCGTTCCACCGTGACCTGCGTGGTAGAGGTAAAAGAATGGAGCCGATGAGCATCATGGAGTCGCAAGAGAGCTAAAACAATAAATGGGATCATCAGAGGAGTGCCGAAACGAGCTAGCCACGGCGAGCTGCCAATGGCAGCCATGGTGGCACGGCCACAGCGGCAACCGACGCCGAAGGCGATTGCGGCGGCAAGAGGTGGCTACTGCGGTTCGAGGAGGACCGCAAGAACTAGGCAGAGCTGGGAGCGTAGGAAATTGGTACAAGATAGAAGAACGGCGATGAATTTCGCCATCAAGTGGCGCAGCGGTGCTCCGGCAGAGAAGAGGGAAAGAGCGGAACGCCGGCGGCTCGAGCTTAAGACTTGCTCACCTACGCCTGGCCGCCTACGCGGCGTGGCCCTAAGGCCGCCCGCTACAGCAGCGAGCTCCTCCGGCCTGCCACCCGCCACAGCAGCGTGCCCTGCCGGCTGTCGCGCGATCTTCCTTCTGCCACCCGCCGCCCACCTGCGCGCATGGAGCGCAAGTCCGCCCGTCGCCTGCCTGCGGTTGCACTGCATAACTCTAGCCGCCACCCCCTGCCCACCAACTCCGCCCGTGCTCCTCAAAGCTGCGCCACTGCCTGCTGTGTTCCGTACGCGCCAAGTACCTCCTTCTTCCCGTTAGCACGTGCCAATGGCTAAGTACGCAGGCCAAGTGCTACAGACGCGCGTATGGAACACACATCTGCCGCAAAGTACAGACGCGTATAGAGGAGGACGCGTTTGTTAAAAGTAGGATTACTCAAAACACGCGTATGCAACAACATACACGTCTGCAATAAGAGATTTTACTACAGATGCGTGTCACGTACGCGCGTCTGTAGCGTTCGATCCCGTTATCAGAGACTTGGAAATCACAACACGCGTCTGTAATAATTGTTGCAGATACAGACACTTTTTACATATACGCATCTGTAGGTTTATCTCAGACGCCTTTTACCAAAACGTGTCTGCGGTAAGCGCTTATTACTGACGCGTGTTGACCTCGCCGGACTGGCGACCCCCGCCAGCGACTTACTACAAATGTGCATCAGGAAGGCGCATCTGTAGTTGTACTAAGCAGACACGCCTTACTCGTCGTGTCTGTGGTGAAGTGGTGGATATGTGGCTTTTTTACACAGTGACGCACGTGACCTCGAGTCGAGGCCCGGCAAGCCAGTACACAATGTCTCGGGCAACCGCCGTGGTCCGGCGATCCAACCGCACGCAGAGACTACGTGGCTCAAGGTGATCGCCGGAACACTGGGCCCCACAACCAGGCCCTATCACCGGATGTCGAGAAGAGCTAGTATGCCAGCGTTTCTTCATCCAGAAACATAATACTAATTTCTCCCCTTCTGTGCATGGCGAGTATCCGCACCGCCGGGTCATCAGAGGAGGAGGACGAGGAGCTAGTGAGCAAGATGTACTTGCAGTGTTTGGCAGCTGCGGCGGGTACAATTGTGCAGTATCCGGTCATGCGGTTGCAAAGGCAAAGATGGTTGATGCTTCTTTCTGTGAGCAGGATGAACCCGTCTCTGGACGACAGCAGTGTTCCGAACGCGGTGGACGCAACGGCCGGTATCAAAGACTTGAAAGGAGCCTCGTTGCCGCCGCCACCGTTGGACGGGAGCGTAGACTAGAACGGCCCCGGCGTGCGCCAAAGGGACGTTGCCCTTCTGTCATAGTGGAAGACGCCGAGCAGCAGGCTGGGGCCGAGGTGAGGCCCGAGGATCGAGGTGTTGGCAATGATCCCGTGCCGCCACGGCTTGCAGACTCCGGCGCAGCAGATGACGGCGGCGGGTTGCAGCCGGAGGAGGATCTCTAGGATGAGGTCAATCGGTAGCGACGCCGCCCACGTGTCCACGACATCAATTGGTAGCAGTGCGGCCGTGTCCACGGCGTCCGAGTCTCGAAGCTGTGGGATTTGTTCTGCCGGCGACGGTGCATCAACCAATCGCCCAAGGCAGTAGAATAACTTAGAAAGACAAGATTTGAGTAAAACTACCCTAGCAGGAAGGGACATCAGCCTCCCTCTCCATTCGGCAATTTTGTTCATGATTTTATCCACTAAAGGTTGTATATCGTCCCTGGTCAGAACATCAAAATGTAGCAGAATACCTAAGTACTTAATTGGGAATTTGCCAACAGGGCAGGAGACAATATGGGCAAATCTATGTACTTCATCATCCTCCAAGTTGATTGGAATCATTTTACTTTTGTGGAAGTTGATTCTCATACACGAGATTTGTTCGTACCACATAAGAATACATTTAAGATTTTCCAACACCGATTCCTCAGCTTTAGAAAATAAAATGGTGTCATCTGCATACTATAGAGCCACAATACGCCTTTGCCTAAAGTCTTCTAGGAGCCCTGTCACAATCCCTCTATCTATAGCTTTTTTCAGCATTCTAGACAAACTATCTCCAACTAAGTTGAAAAGAAAAGGGGATAAAGGATCTCCCTGTCTTAAGCCCTTTCCAGGCTTAAAATAGGAACTTTCTTCCTCATTTACCATAATACCCAAAGATCATCCCACCACAATGTGTCTAATCCAGTTTATCCAAACTGGATCAAAGCCTTGGTCTTCTAACGTATTGTCGACGAAATATGGTCGGCAGTCTACCTAGGGGTATGCCCAAGGTAGTAGATTATCGGCAGACAGGTGCGCAAGTCCCAAACAAGACGGTGACGCAAGACAGACACGAGGTTTTATCCAGGTTCGGCCGCCAAGAAGGCGTAATACCTACGTCCTGCGTCTGATTTGTATTGCTGTATGTCAATGAGAGATGATTTTTAGAGGGGTCCCCTGCCCGCCTTATATAGTCCGGGGGGCAGGGTTACAGATCTGGAAACTAATCCTAGTCGGTTACAATTGCCATATGTGGCCGGATAAGGATTCCTATTCTAATCGACCAGGATCCTGCTTGGTCGCCAAATCCGTCTTGATTCCTTGTGCGGGACTCCGATCAGGTTAACTGGGCCGCACGTCATCTTTCGGGTGGACTGAACCTATCGATCCAGGCCAACCCAAGCTTAGCCGTAAGGGTATAGGGGTTAATACCCCCACAGCTAGTCCCCGAGCATCATGTATTATGCTGCGACACGCCATTTTAACCTTCTCCGACAAGCAAGGCTTGAATTCTTGACGCCTCCGACCACCGTCATCACCGGAGAAGTAGGTTGTCCGAAGAATGTATGGTGCTCTTAAGAAAAAAGAAAAAGATTTCTGTCCTGAGAAGTGTGCCCACTTGTATTTCTGAAAAGAAATGTAAGTGGTCTTGAAGCATAGCATCCTTAAACATCAGAAGCGTAGGGGTCGAAAAATAAACACATTCACCGCAAGGTGAAGTGTGCCCACTTAGTCCCCGAGCTTGCTGGAAGGCAAAGTATGAGCCTTGTAGCAAGGTCTAAAAGAAAAGTCTCTTAACTGTATGTGAGTACAAATCACATGTAGCCAAGGAGAACCATTATTCAAGCAGTGGTCGGGGCAGTCCCCGAGCATACTAATAATCCTCATAACCATTCAAAACACAAGGGTCAATTTAATCAAACACATTCACCGCAAGGTGAAGTGTGCCCACTTAGTCCCCGAGCCTGGTAGTAGGTGACGCAGGCACGTGGTGCCAGGGTCTAAAAAAGAAATTCCGCTGAGGTTAAGAATCCAATTGCCGTACAGGCGATACAAGATGCACCGGCGGGTGCATCGTGCCGATGTAGTCCCCGAGCTTGCTGGAAAGCAAAGTATGAGCCTTGTAGCAAGGTCTAAAAGAAAAGTCTCTTAACTGTATGTGAGTACAAATCACATGTAGCCAAGGAGAACCATTATTCAAGCAGTGGTCGGGGCAGTCCCCGAGCACGGCCGTGGTCGGAGCGATCCCCGAGCACAAAAGTGGTCTGGGCAGTATCCAAGCACAGTAGTGGTCAAAACAAATCCACGATCACTTGCGCTGCTTGTACTATTATTTTGTGTACTTTTCTCTATTCTCTGCCAAGACCAGTCTGACACGTCTGGTCAAAAAAGTCAATAGGTACAATCGTCATTCTCTTTTTTTTTTTTTTTGCAAAAGCAAATGGGTTGACACCTGTATTGAGGTGTGTCGGGTGGGCCTCCTTACACCGTCAACGAGGGCGGCGCTGCATCGTTAATGAAGTAGCGCTTATTGGCGCAGATTTTGAGGTTGTGTGAACAACCATCTGCGGCGCGCGCATTTACTCCCAATATTCTCGGGCGGATTTAAACGACGGTGCTCGTTGTTTTATATAATGCAGATCCGTAAGCTACTCATACCGTTCCCCATTGTCATCCGCCGCCGCAACCTTCTTCTTCCTCCTGCCGAACCCTATTGCCCCAAAAATC